AGATGACAAAAATCAATTGATGAAAGTACAGGCTGGCTTGTCTAAAAGACATAAAGACCCATATGTCCTGTAATTTTCTTCTCTCAATTTCAGACAAAACTGAGGTTGTTATATTTGGCCCTAAAAATCTTAGAGACATTGTGCCTAATTGGATACTTTCTCTGCCGGAAAAGTGAGGAGTGTCCCCTTTGGGTCAGGGATGAGTTTTTGCCCCAAGTGGAGGAGTTTAAGTATCTTGGGGTCTTGTTCACGAGGGAGGGGACAAGGGAGTGGGAGAAAGACAGACAGATTGGGGCAGCGGCTGCAGTGTTGCAGATATTGCCTTGTCCCGTTGTGTTAAAGACAGAGCGAAATGTCAAAGCGAAGCTGTCAGTCTACATTACTGTCCTCACCTATGATAATGAGCTCTGAGTAGTGACCAAAAAAATTAGGTCGCGGATACAAGCAGTGGAAATGAGATTTCTCTGAAGGGTGGCTGGCCCCTCCCTTTGAGATAGGGTGAAGAGTTTAGTCATCTGAGAGGCGCTCAGAGTAGAGCTGCTCCTCTGCATCAAAAAGAGCAAATCAAGGTGATTGGGCATCTGACAAGGATGCCTTTTGTGTGAGTTGTTTTGGGCATGTCTCACTAGACAAAGGCCTCCTGGGCAGACTCATGACACCCTGAAGAGATTGCAACTCTCAGCTGGCCTGGGAACATGTTTTCCCAGATGAGCTGGAGAAGGTGGGGAGAGGGAGGTCTGGGTGTTCTTGCTTCTTGTTCCTGCCCTGCACGGCATGGATTTAGCAATGTTATATGATCATCATCTCTGCTTCAGTTTAAGTCACAAAATGTAAAAAACTGAATGTTTTGTTTTTATTTCTTATTTTGTTGCTTCCTAGGTCTTTATCTCTGTGAACTGCCTGAGCACAGACTTCTCCTCTCAGAAGGGTGTGAAGGGGATGCCTATGATTATTCAGATCGACACGTACAGCTACAACAACGGCTGTGGCAGCAGGCCAATCCACAGAGCCTATACTCAGATTAAGGTCTTCTGTGACAAGGTAAAGAAGTCTGCTAGCACATGTGCTCAACAGTGAGCTAATAACATGGAATTGGATAAACCTTTTTAACCTGTTTTTAACATATTCTGACATTTTTTTTCCTTTCTGTTTGCAGGGTGCTGAGAGGAAGCTTCGCGACGAGGAAAAAAAGCAGCTCAGGAAGAGTATGAAAGGTGAAACCTTTTTTTGTTTTGTTTGTTGCTAAGACGTGATTACAATTTATTTACAGAAATAAAATTGTTCAGATTGTTTTAAAATCCACGGAAAAAAGGTTACAAATCCTTGCCCTTAGGGCACTGAGACTTAAAAAGGTTCGCAAATGTAATCAATTCTGTACTTGAAGTTGTCGCTTGGCAACAGATGTTAAGTTCACACTGCCTCTGGATTAGGGAAAAATGGCAGCTCGGGGTTGACCACTCCGATAAAGAGGGCTGAAAGTGCGCTGTTCAAAAGCATTGGAGACCTGGACTCCCAGCCCGTTCTCTTCATTCCAGACGTCCACTTTGGAAACCTGCAGAGAGCAGGGCAGGTGAGGGACCACGCTACACACACACATTCGTTTTGACATTTTAGTGAAGACATAGAATTGACATAATGTTGTTTGTTTTTTTTTTTAAATTTTGTTTGCAGGTGTTTGCTTTTAACACTGAAGAAGTTGATCGAAATGGGTGAGTCCCACAGTGGCTTTGTGTTAGTGCACACTGCTCCACATGACCTTGAGTTTATTGTTGAGGGTCTCTCCATGGTGAGAAGATTACAGAAGGTTGGACAAAGGCTAATTTTGTTTTTATCCTTGTTTATACCTTAGAAGAAACAAACTGTTACATGTCAGGGAATTCTAGCATTCCCATCAAATGACACGTGTTTCTGCATGTGTGTTCATCAGAGGTGTTTTAATGAAGAGGGTTTCATGTGTTGGCCAGGAAGACCTCTGTCCACCTGCACCAAAGAAGTCCAGAGTGGAACCAGAAAGAAAAGGTAACTTATTTCTCATTAAGAGTTCTTGTCCTTGTTGGTGTCGTGGTTTGACCTAATATTATCTTCCTATACCTTGACTTTTCCAGTTCTACTATATGTGAGGAAGGAGGGTGATGAAGTGTTTGATGCTCTGATGCTGCGCAGCCCAACCCTCAAAGCTCTGATGGAGGCTGTGAGTACTGAGAACATATTGCTTACTTCTACAAACCAACAGCTCACTGCCAAACGGTTTGTAGATGGGTCAAAGCTAATGTGACCTGTTGGTTTGCAAAGCCCTGTTTTCAAAGCATCATCTGGAGCATCTTGGTTGTTACCTTGTTAGCTTCTTCAAACCAGACGTCACAAAATGAGCAGGAGATCCAACAGTCGCAAGATAGACCTGTGCTTTATCCTCCTTTTGGCTAGTAATGTTCTTCGCTTTAAGATGTGAAACTAGGGATTGAGACCGTAAACTCATCAGGAAAGTGTTTACTGAGACTGAAGATGTGAGAAGTAGTTATTTTCTGATCCTTCTTACATCTTACACTTTTCTAAAACCGGAATAGTCGCCCCCTACTGGCCGTTAGAAAGAATTGAATTCATGTATGTATGGATATAGATATAGATGGGGAGAAAGAGAGATTCAGTTTTGTTAACATCTACTTTGTCTTCACAGATCTCTGAGAAATATGCGGTGCCTGTTGAAAAGATAGCCAAGGTTTACCAAAAAAGCAAAAAAGGGTGAGTCCACCTCAATAAAAAAAACGTTTCTTCTGCTTTTCACTTGCTTCCATGTCTGTTTGCTTGTTGGCTTAAGGTAGCTTTACATGCCAACCAGTGTCAGTAGCCCTTGCTAATGAGGAGAAGAAGAGATGAATAAATATGACCGTCTTACATTTAGAAGGTTTATTTTAACATAAACCAAACTTCAGGACAAAACTTTGAGATGAAGTTGTAGGGAAGCCGTGTGAAGAACAGCTGAGGGATCATGTATGTAGAAATCAATTTGCAATAGAGACATGAGGTGACCAGATCAGTTATTACCGTTAAATGTGTTTACTGTCTTTCCCAGGCTCCTGGTGAACATGGATGACAACATCATCCAGCAATACTCCAATGAGGACACCTTCATCCTGGCTATCGAGAGCTCAGCAGACTCCTGGCGTGTGACTCTGTCGGAGATCTGATGGCTACTAACCCCTGCACTGTCATACTCATTATGCTCCAGACGGAGGTCGATCAGTGCCTGGTGACTCTTTATCCATTTCATGTGCAGACTCATGAACGCTGTTGTCAGTGTCGTATGCTGGAGCCAAACTGTTGTTTGTCACACGGGAGTCTCTGTAGGCTTTCCTTTCCTGCATGGATCATTTTGAACATTGGCCCTTGGCTCTGGGGACACAGGCTCAGCAAATGTTGAAAACTTGTGGATTTGTTTTTAGGTTAGGAAAAATCTTTTGATCTTTCCTAGCAACCTTACCAGCTGGCAGGAATGAAGTTGTGAACCCTTTTTGCCCAGCTGTCACTAAAAGAACAGGATTCATCCCGGTCAAAGACAGCAGCAGCTCTCTGTGGTGTCAGGAAGAAGACGTCATAACAGATTAACAGCACAGAGCACTGCTCCGGGCTTCTCCTGCACCTTCTGTTATCCTCCCTGTACTTCCTCCTGTGATCGAAACTTTGAAATGACGTGACGGGCATTTGAAAAGCCTTTGCAACACCTTTGGGTGGCGTGGCACTGCTCTTTGCTCGCTACGTTCCTAATCAATTTTAGACATGTCTCGACTTTAATCTGAAGTGATGGTACTTTAACTCTTATTAGCATCCATTATGTTATTATTTTTTTGATTGGTTATATTTTTACTGCATGCTAAATGTTTCCTGTTGGTGCCAGTGAAAAAAATAACAGTTATTTATCCCAGATTGTGACTACATGCCACTGTCCTGGGATCTATAATTAGATTGAGGCACCGTTATAGAACAGGACTTCTGGTCTAAATTGCTCTTGTTAAATTGTTCTGCTTCGTGTGTGTGTGTGTGTGTGTGTGTGTGTGTGTGTGTGTGTGTGTGTTAATTGCTTTTCCTCTCACTAAAGAGACTGTAGTCATTAGTATTTATGACATTCGTTAGGGACTCGCAGGGCCCGGCCGCTCTATCCGTTCAGTCCTTTGAGGCTGCAGCAGCCGATCAGAGCACAGCAGCGGAGCGATCCTGCTCCAGCTCGGTGCGTCTGCCTGTATCCTTCATGTACTTCACATGCAGTGAAGTACAGTTTTTACGATGTGCAAATAAAAAAATAGTTTTCTATAAAGTCACTTGTTTCTGCTTCTGCCAAAATCTACAGCGTGCGTTTTTACAGCTCAACAGTGGCTACAACTGTCACCTGAAGTGTGATGTTTTCAGGTTTCCCTGTCTCATTTATGTAAATATAACATTTAGGAACTCCACCGATAAAATAGACATCCGAGATGTGTTAGAAACTGTTACCAAATCAGTTTTACACCCATCCCAAGTGTCACAATCTGAAGGCAAAATCACACATGCTACGAGCAGCCCTCTGATTGGCTACATCATAGTTCGGATGGCAAAACTGCATGAATTTAGTATCTTAACAGAAATGAGCACTGGTGTTCTGGACTTTGAATCGGTTTTCTGATAATTCTCTGGGGAAAACTTTAAGAAGACCATTGAGTAAACATTCGTAAGTGAACTTCTCACGTGGGATAGGTCAGAGCAAGTTGTACCGGTGTCCTTTAAACTGCGTTTTAATACCAGACTCATCTTCTAGCTGTTATTCATTTTATGTCAAAACAGCTTTCTAATAGGCATATTTTAACACTCTCACATGGAGCTGTGAAATGGAGAAATGACGCCTCTATGTAACACTCTGTATTACAGTTTGGACAGATCGCACTGATGGATCACCTTTAGGTCCTGAACATGCTTTTCAAAGAATTTGAACATGTAGAAGGGCCTGATCACAATTGATGTTGTTGCTCCGTTGCCTGTTCAGACTGTAATGAAGATGACGTGTCCAATAGAGGTGAATTATCTCACCTTTATCTTTCTTATCTGCTTACCATCATGGTAATTTAAGGGTTTGTAATTTGTGAAATTTTCATAGGAAATCACTTCAGACAGTTGACTTCCATCACTTCCCTCCACGGCTTAGCCTTGAGATAAACACTCCCAAATTAGAAATTGAGGAGAAATGGAATAACTTTAGATGTTAATTGATTTAAATATTTGTAATTACAGGAGTGGAAATAAGCAAGTCAGTATCTAATATGTACACCTGTGTAGCCAATTTATTACAACACTGGGCTTACCATAATCAATAGCTTTCACACTGCACTGCTTAAAAACCTTTTGGAAAAAGAATTGGAAAACACCATACATATTCATACACATCCTATTCATGTCTTTTTCATTCAAACGCATATACTGGTTACTAGTGCACGTCTGCAGTACGTGTATTAATGTCACTGTACCATTAAAACAAACAAACAAACAAAAAACCCAAACGGATCCTGAGGCAGTCAAGTAGGATGCAGTCATTGATTCATTTATTTTCTAATTGAATGATCTTTGTTGTGATCACTGTAACCTAACACAACACATTTTGGTCATATCAAATTAATATACTTAATTATGCACAAAGGTCACATTGATTTTTACAGGTTAATTATACTTTTGTTTGGTAATAGTGCAATTATACGGTAAAAATTGGTATCTGTATAAAACAGGCTGAGCATGACCTTAAAATGAATGTTAGCAGTCACATTCTTTAGCTTCCTAAGTCTAAGGTTTTTAAAATGTAGCACAAAAAAATGTTGTTAATGAGTTACACAAAAGCCTTACATTTCTATTGTCAAAATGTGCACAGTGGTTTCAAACAGTGTACTTGGAAACTAACTGATCCAGGGATGTGTCTATATATAAGGTTTCCTTTCACATGTTAAGGATTTGAAACTGCAGCTATTATGATGTGTCACTTACAGGCTAAAAGGAGCTCACTGGGCTGATTTAGAGCAGCGGTCCCCAACCCCCGGGCCTCGGACCGGTACCAAGCCGCGAGAGTTGAGGCTCAGGTGTGAAATGTATAGTTTTCAGGATTTTTATCGGTTTTCAGCGTTACTTTGTTATCGTTTTTATCGTTTACTCTGTTTTCCTGGGTCTTTTCACGTGTGTTATGAATAAATTTTCTTTTTTTCGGTACCGGTACTAGTTTTATTTTGTTGTATTTATCCGCGACACCTTAAAGGCCGGTCCATGAAAATATTGTCGGGCATAAACCGGTCCGTGGAGCAAAAAAGGTTGGGGACCGCTGATTTAGAGTATGCACTTGTAACTTTGCAAAAGTCTTTTTCTGTGTTTGTTAACATACAAACCTAAGCCATATTTCAGAGTTTGTTAACCCTCCTTAAAGAAACTCTGTAAAGCAGTACCTGCCTTGAGGAGACCTCAGGTCAGCTGAAAGCAACATTATACAACAGGATCAATGAGCTTCTGCCAGCTCCAGAGAATGTTATCGAGGAAATATTGCAGCTCTATCAGTCTGCTGTAACCTGCTGGAAAGCTTCAGTGTGTTCCTCCTCGCAGTCAAGAATCATTCAGTGTGACAGGTTAACTGTGACAGGAAGCTGAACGGAGTAGTTTTCAGTGGATGCTACAGGTGGGGAAATGGTACAGACAGTCCTAGAAAGAGCAGTTTGGATCAAAAATTGTATGTAATTGTAGTCATGCTAGTGATGTGACTGTGGATCAGAATATTGATGATCTCTCACTTCATTTCAGACTGAAATCTTTAATCTGTGACTCCATTGGCATTTTTGTCATATCATAAAATACTGGCTACAGGTGTACATCTCAGTGGTTTCTACTTTGACTATGCTAGCATGATTAACAGTTGCTTAGTGGTCTTTGCATCACATTGCACAGCAGTATTAGCACTTTCAGGAATATAACCAGAATTTAACCAGCTAGCAGCCAGTTGAATTGAGTCCCCTCAAGTTGTGTTCATTTACTGATGGCAACATGTTTATGAATTAGACAGTAATTTTTTGCAAACCAATGTCTCTGAGAGTGTTTGCAATCAGCCCAAGTCAGGCTTTGTAGAAAGATTGCATCTGGTGATGCCTTGCAATGAAAGGTAGTTGTGAATGTGCAACAATCTCGAGCTCTGAGGTGTAAAGATATCCCAAACATTTTGCTATTAGCTTATTGGGAATCACCTCATTAATGATTATCTCGAATAATATCTTGTAATGTTATGTTGACTCAACTAAAGATTACAAGAGTACAAAGTGCCTAAGATACAGTTATTTGCAGGTAGGAACACTGGTTTGAGTGGTGAGTCAAGGATGCCATTGAGGTGAAAAAGGAACAACCTAAATACTTTAAATATACTGTAAGATCTTTCACATCTTACAATGCTGTGATTGCAACCATTCCCCAACTCTCGGTTAAAAGTGCTAATGGCTACTGATCAATTTACATATTAATGATCATGAAACTGACCCCGCAGCCCATTGTTAGTTGGTCATTTTGCAAATGTACTGTTTATAATGTTGTGGAAACCTGCTGAGACTGAAGAAAGTCAGTCTTGTCACTTATCACTCTGGATAAGTGACAAAACGTTTCTCACACGTCCAGATGAACCAAATCAACTTTCTGGGATCTGTGGAACTGAAATGAGTGAAAAAGAAAAACTTTGAAAGAGCTTCAGAAAGTTTGGCTCCTTGGAAGGGAAATCTAAAGAGTGTTTTGTCAGACACCGTGACACAGTGTGGAGTGGGAGATTTTACAGTAGAAACGAATGCACTGGTCTGTGGTGGAGTGACTGTGACACAGTGTCATTTCTTGTCACTTATTAGCCAACATGTACACAGCTAGCAGTTTGTCTTTAATCATCTAATTCCACAATATTCCACAATTAAGCAAACACCACATGATTACTTGCACACAATATATTGTAAATTTAATTCTTGCCTTTGAATTCGACCCCAAAAGAAGGAAACAGAATCCTGTGTTCCAAATCCGTCGTCACTAAATACAATATACCATACAAAACCTACAAAATGCAACAATTACAAACATTTTGTTCAACGCTGAACAATTGTACAGTATAAATTTATACAATACTGTTTTTTTTTAATTTTATTTGGCACTTGACCACAAGATGCTTTCTTTACGTTTTAACAGAAACGATCCACATGACAGCGTTTTTCTTAAAAAAAAAAAAAAATCATAAAAAAATAATAAATGTGACACATTATGACAGTATCATTGCAGTAGTTGTGATTCTCTGTTTGTTGCTCTGCATCTTTTTTTCTCTTTACATAAAAAAAAAAACAAACAGCAGTTATTATACTGAACATTCAAAGCTTTTTCTAATTGGAACGTGTTGCAGTTACTGAAACGGCTCGGCTGGGGCCTGGAGGAGGGCGGGGTTACATTCAGGGGTGGAGAAGTTTGGTTTTTCTCTTTTCAGGTTTTCTTTGAAAGCAGAGTGAAGAATAGAGAGACAAAGGAGAGGAGCACGGATTGAAATTATGATATTTATCCTGCGTGTGAGACTGCGGGGACGCTGCTCACGGTATGTCACGTGGCGCCGTGTTGGAGACACGATTGGATGGTGATTTAATGATGGAGCTCAGTGCTTTTTTACAGTTGCCTCACTGATGTTGTGAGTCAACCTAAAGAGCTTCTTCCGTAAACCTACAGACGCGTCAGCTTTGTCGATCCACACTCGGTCAATAACACTGACGACACAGAAGCGAGCACAGGGCTGAATAGCGCTACCGTCATGTTTGATATCCATAAACACACACTAAGAACACACACATGCGTGTAAGTCACATGCATATGTGCTATGTTAGTCTACCCACCCCGTACCCGACGACTGGTTCAACATGCTGCCTTTAAAAACATCAAAAGTGAAGAAAAAGCGGTTTTGTTCTTCACGCAATTAAAAGAAAAAAAGGTTTGCATGCTCGATATCTCGCCACAGCTTAAATAAACAAAGATTTAAAAAAAAAAAATTATTATTATTATTTCACGACGTTTGTTCATTGAGCACTGAGCGCTCAGGACTACATGGGTTTGCTATACAAATGTAGAGATGCACTTTAAAATATCTACACGGTACTCAAATACTTGTTAAGACTACTTTTCTATTTCTGCCTCAAGCTAGCGCGCAGTGACGGCCTCGGCGTTGCCGCTGCGAAACACAGACAACGGAGCAGAGGGACGCTTTCTATCCTTCAGCGAGACCTCACAAAATGAAAACTACTGATCAGGGTGCTTATGCATAGTAGCGTAATATCACATGTTCTTGTTGGCCCAGCACAAAATATGAAACAAAGTCTATCAAGTCTGCAAAAAAAGAAAACAAAAAATACACAAACACACATTCTCACAGTAGAAAAGAGGAAAGCGGTACTCGTTCCGAGTGAAGGACAAACTTCACAGGTCTTCTCTGCAGATAAAAATGATCTTGCCTACAGTACTAAACACCATCATCTCTCGTGGTCTTGTGCACACTCTGTCTATTATACATGTTAGAGTGATGGAGGCTCTGTGCAGCCCTGGCCGGAGCCTGGGGGGGTTACAGAGAGCCAAGCAAAGACACTGATACAGAGACTCCAGTTTATACTGCGTATGTACAACCTACTGTAAACCTTCTTTAAACTTGGACATGCCTATAGGAGAACTGAGGAATGCAATTACAATCAGTGGGGTTTAATAACCTGATGGGACATCAGTCTTAGTTGGAGTTCGGAGGGTTTCAGATAAACGGCTTGACGGAGGGGTGTGGGAGGGCTGGGAAATTGGAGAGTGTAGCTCCTGTGGCCATCTCCTGTGTGAAAGTCCTCAGTGCACATTGAAAGGCCTGTCTTCTTCATCCTCATCATCCTGTCAATCTTCATCATCAGACTCTCCACAGTGGAGAGTTGTGGGCATTTAGCACCCCAAAGAAGCACTGTGGAGACACAAATGAAGATCAACAGTCACACACAGGTGCTGACGTGTTCAAAATACGGAAGCGTTTTTGATCAACACTTCCGGGCTTCTTCCCACTTCTTCAACCATGTGTTGCACGCTGGTGTTGTTACAGGTAATATAAAAGCAGTTGAGATGCAATCCCACGTTATCTCATATCTAAATTAAATCTCTAATCTTTTTCCCATTTTTCCCGGTTTGCTGACTGGAAACAAAATCCTACATACTTGAATATTCTATCACATTTTAGAGCAGATTACGCCAGGCTAGATTGGTAAGATTGCAGTCAATATTCTGTTAACCCTTTAAGGTGTAAGTCAGTGGTCCCAAACCCACGGGCCTCGGACCAGTATCGGTCCGTGAGTCGTTTGGTACCGGGCCGCGAGAGTTGAGGCTCAGGTGTGAAATGTATGGTTTTCAGGGTTTTTATCGGTTTTCAGTGTTATTTTGTTATCGTTTTTATCGTTAACTCGGTTTTCCTGGGTCTTTTCACGTGTGTTATGAATAAATCTTCTTTTTTTTCCGGTACCGGTACTAGTTTTATTTTGTTGTATTTATCCGCGACACCTTAAAGGCCGGTCCGTGAAAATAATGTCGGGCATAAACTGGTCTGTGGTGCAAAAAAGGTTGGGGACCGCTGGTGTAAGTGATCAGATGTGCTAGCCCTAATCCCACCCTGCAGCTGCGGAGAGCAGCACCAGCCACTGGTGGCAAACAGTGCTTTGCAATATTAAACTAAAATAAAAACCTGAACCCCCAAACTCTTTTGAGATCATCTACAATAAAACGCTGAATGTGTTTCAGAACATTTTTGCTTTTGTATGTATTATTTTACATAGTTGAAGCATATCATTATCACATGATAAAATGTCTAAAAAGCTTCTGTTACAAATGTGTCCACAGCAGAGACAACATCAGCAAGTCTATTATTGCTTGCATGAAACTCCTCATAACTGCGCTGTTACAGTTTGAAGTTTGCACTTTCAACACAAGCTGAAACAGAGACTCAGCGAGGCTGCGTCTTGCTGCTAGCTCGTCTGAAATTGGTCATGTGACTTGGACGCGCCGTTTGATTCCAGAGGGTTACGTCGACTGAGAGCCTCTCGATCTGTTTGTGACAGTGAATTAAAACAGAGCATTTAATTCTGTTTTAATTGAATTAAATATAATTACTACCAGATACATCTGCTAATTCATTTTCAGAACAGGCTGTACTGTCACGGTACATTTTGTGCCTTCTCGTGTTAACTTTCTCTCACTGGTCGGTTTGTCGGTTCAGTTCTGTTTTGTACTGTGCTGAACTTGGACTGCTATTAACTGGCAGCAACACAAGAGGCCAGAAGTTCAAAACAACGACAATAACAACAGTAAGTGTGTTCTTCCACACGCGAGCTCTTATTATGAAGGAGTAATGTGGGCCCTCACACATGATTCACAACACGTTTCTAATGTTTTGCTGATAAGGCGAAGTGGAGGAGAGACATTTGATGAGAAAGAACTTAACAGAGGATTCTTCTTAAGGGGCTTGAATTTTGTATTATGCTTTTTTCTTGCAAACACACCTATTCTAGCATTTACTTGCAAATTCAAAAGCCTGACTACAAAAATATTTGCATGCTCTCCATTTATTGGGCGTCTTGTTATCGTTGGTGGCTGTGGGTGCCATAAATAGCTGCCGTCGTGTGCAATAGCTTACTTTCTTATTGTGAAGTGTTGTTTTTGCTTCTCGTTAGCCGTTTGAATATTTATCCCAGGTAAAAACCCCCCGTAGTTAGATTTCCGTTCATGGTTCCAGATTAAGACTAACGTGTTTCCTTCTCTCTGCTTCACGAGAGTCAAATTCCTTTTATCCTTTGATGTTGTTTTAATCAGTCTAATTAATTCAGTCTAATAACCTGAGGTGCAAACTGCGATCCAGTGATGAGAATAACAGCATGTCCACATCTATTCACAGCTAAAGATGGGAGAGGAAAAGGAGTCTGCGTATGGGTATCACCACGATCTCTCAGGATGTAGACAGGATGCATTGTGTTTTTGCCCTTTGTTGGCACAACCAGCTTTAGTTCTGAATCCAGAGCTTTGTTTATCAGTCTGCAGGATCTCTTTGGTCAATCCAACGCTCAGCTGGCACAAAAATGCCAGTTGTTTGACATTTATTTGAGCTAATGTATCACATTCATCTGTCAGTCACAGCCACAACTATTAAAATGTAAAGTTTTTTAAAGCAATGGATTTTTAAAATAGCATAGCATTTATATTTGCACACATGAACAGAATTATTTCCGAAAAAACAAAAATGATCACAACCAACATTATTAGTCCCCAGAATAAGTCAATCACTGGAACTCTGCACAGCAACGGACTGTGAGGTTGCAGACCAAGAAAAACTCCACTTCTGCAGAAGAGAACAACTTCAAGCCTGAGTCAAGTATGTTAAGGACAACACGGAGGAAGATTATGCTTACTGGAAACATCTGCTTTGGAAAGATGAGATGAAACTAGAGCTCTTTTGGCAACACTCTGGAACTGGGAATCCTTTCAATGTGGAAGGACTCATGAAGAAAGAAGCCTATGTGAAGATTTTCAGAGAAAACTTCAAGCAGTCACCAGCAAAACCGGGTCTGGGTCATCGCTTTGTCGACAACGACCCAAAGCACACATCACTCCTCATGAAGAACTACTTCCGGAAGACCAATGTGAACATTAATGGCTTTCTTGCACAAAGCCCATACTGAAAATCTGTGGGGTGAACTGAAGTATGGAGGAGCTTGAGAGATTCTCCAAAGAAGAATGTGCTGGGATTGCTCAGGAGACGTGTGTGAGGCTTGCTGGAAACTTCAACAAACGACTGCAGGCTGTCAAACAGCAAGAAGAGTTTTGTATTTTTGTAAAAAAAATAATTTTGTGAGCAAAGTAAATGGTCTGTATTTGTATAGCGCTTTACTTGGTCCTAAGGACCCCAAAGC